ACAAAGAGGGGAGAAAGTAATTCAGAAGAAAATTGAAATGCTAGGATCAGAAGAAAACTTTTTTAAAAAACAAAATATCTTTAGAGGGATAAGAAAATACCTAGCCTCTGTGATGTAACAGAAGACTGATACAGATGGATCAAAGACATAAATGTAAGAGCTAAGACTATAAAACTCCTAGAAGAAAACATAGATGTAAATCTTTGTGACCTTGGATTAGGCAATGATTTCTTAGGTATGACACCTAAAGCAGAAGCAACCAAAGAAAAAAGATAGATAAATTTAACTTAATCAAAATTGAAAACTTTCGTGTTTCAGAGGACACTATCAAGAAAGTGAAAAGACAGCCCACAGAATGGGAGAAAATATTTGCAAATTATATATCTGATAAGTGTCTAATATTCAGAATACATAAAAAATTATTACAACTCATCAATAAAAATACAAAAAAACTAATTAAAAAGGGAGCAAAGAATTTAAATAGACATTTCTCCAAAGAAGATATACAAATAGACAATAAACACATGAAAATGTACTCAAAATTATTAGTCATTAGGGAAATGAGGAGCCCTGGTGGCACAATTGTTAAGAGCTATAACTGCTAACCAAAAGGTCGGCAGTTCTAATCCACCAGCTGCTCCTTGGAAACCCTATGGGGCAGTTCTACTCTGTCCTCAAGGGTTGAGTCAGAATCAACTCGATGGCAATTGGTTTTGTTTGTTTGTTTGTTTTAGGGAAACGAACAACTACAAATGAGATACTGCTTCAAACTTTGAAGGTGTGAAGACAGACAATAAAAAGTAAAGACAGACAATAATAAGCGTTACTGAGGATATGGAGAAATTGGAATGCTCATATTGCCAGTGGGAATATAAAATGGTGCAGTCACTTTGGAAAAACAGTTTGGCAGTTCCTCAAAAGAGTTAGAGTCACCATATTCCAATCCTAGGTATATACCCAAGAGAATTGAAACCACATGTCCACACAAAAACTTGTACATGAATGTTCATAGCAGCATTATTCACAATAGCCAAAAAGTAGAAACAAACCTAAATGTCCACCAACTGTGAATGGGTAAACAAAATGAAGTATATCCATACAATGAAATATTATTAGACCATAAAATGGATTGAAGTACTGACACATGCTACAATATGGATGAACTTTGAAAACATTATGCTAACTGAAAGAAGCCAGTCACAAAAGGCTACACATATTGTATGATTCAATTTATATGAAATGTCCAGAATAGGCAAATCCATAGAGAGAGAAAGTTGATTAGTGGTTGCCGGAGGTCAACAGGAGAAAAGAAAAAGGAGTGACTGCTAATGGGTACAAGATTTCTTTTAGGGGTGATAAAAATGTTTTGGAATTAGTGTTAACACAACCTTTTGAATATGCTAAGAACCACTGAATTTTACAGTATGTGAATTATATCTCTATAAAAAATAAATAGAAGCTGCTGTAGAACATTCAGAGAACAAGAAAGGTTTTTGAAAGTAGAGATATGAAAGAGTTTAAAAACTTAATCATAAGGATGAAAAATAGCTTGACAAAATCTTCTACAATCCAGGAGAATTAAGGCAAAAGATAGTAAACAGAGAAAGGATGAGAAAAATATAAACCAAGAAGGTTCACTATCCAACTAATTGGAGTTACAGAATAAGAAAACAGAGAACATCAAGTGGAGCAGATATTTTTTTTTAATTACTCAAAACAGAAAAAAAAAAAAATCCTAAAATGAAGAATGTGTTTCGAGACTGACAAGGGTCCCTGAGTACCTAGCACAAGGAATGACAAAAATATTACACTATGGCACATTATCATGAAATTCTAGAACACTATAGGTAAATAGGAAGGAGCACTGTTTGCACAGTGGTTAAGCGCTTGGCTGCTAACGGAAAGGTTGGTGATTTGAGCCCACTAGCCTCTCCGTGGGAGAAAGATGTGGCAGTCTGCTTCTGTAAAGATTATTGCCTTGGAAACCCTATGGGGCAGTTTTAGTGTCCTATAGGGTCAATATGAGTCGCAATCCACTCAACAGCATTTTTTTTAATGGACAATTATAAGAACCTAAATTATCTAGAGCAAGGTTTCTCAACCTAAGTACTATTTTGGGTCAGATCCTTCTTTGTTGAGGAAGCTGCCCTGTGCATTGCAGGATATTTAGCTGTATCCCTGGTCTCTCTACTCACTAGATGCCAGGAGCATCACTCTTCCCATTTGTGACAACCAAAAATGTTTCCAGGCATTGCCAAAAGTCCCTGGAGGACAAAATTGCTCCTGGTTGAGAACAAGAGGTCTAGAGGGGGAAAAAACAAGTCTCTAAAAAGAATGAGTGATCAGAATGTTGGCGAACATCTCTCCATTGGAAATTAGAAAACAATGGAGAAATGCCTTCAAAAAACTAAAAAGCCAAAAACCAAACCTGTCAATTCTGACTCATAGTGACCCTATAGGATGGAGGAGAACTACCCCATAGGGTTTCAAAGGAGTGGCTGGTGTATTCAAACTGCTGGCCTTTTGGTTAGCAGCTAAACTCTTAACGACTGTGCCACCAGGGCTCCTTCAAAAGACTAGGGGCCAATAATTCCTAAAGTATATTTTCACACCCAACAAAGTCATCAAATCATGTAAGCGTGGGAAGACACTTTCAGATATTCAAGCTCTGAGTAAATTTATCAACAATTCACCCTATTTGTTTGAAGTTATTGGTAAATGTTCCCCAGGAACTCAAGGGAGTAATCTAAGAAGGAGGAAGAGATAAATCTAGAATACAGACAAGGATACAGGAAGGACATAAAAGAAATACCCAGGATTATGACTAACGCAAATCCCAAACTGTCAGCTGTACAAATAGTATACAAGTAGTCCCCGACTTACAATGTTTTCAAGTTACCGTGAACCGCACTTAGGACTGTCTTTTTTTTGTACATCTTATCGTTAGTAATTTTCTGATGTTATTCTCAAATGTTCACTTGCAGATGTTTTTGTTTTATGATTTACTGTTCAAAACAATGCCAGATTTGTAAAGATACTGATAATAAAAGGTAATAATGATGAAAACTTAAAAACAAAAATGAAGTATTAGACTTATGTCAGAACCGACTTATAAGAGAGTCCTCGAAACACAGCCCTGTCATAAGTCGGGGGCTACTTATACAATTGAGCAGGAGTCTGAGTAGCTCCAGAAGCGATGACTCAAAGGGAAAAAAAAATGGAACTGACAGATTTCTTTATGCGTTTAACTACATAATGAGGAGCTTTAGATTTTAGAATTTGAAGTAAGTTAAAAATATGTACATAGAAAAGTTAGCAAAATGAGAAAGGAGGCAATTATTAAATTAAGGGTAAAGAAAAAACATGTAACCTCAGTGCATCATGAGGCTCAGATCTAAGTAATATTTACATGGTCATCATTATATAAAAACTAAGTATTTAACAAAATTATTGTACTGTTATATGACAGGATGAAGTAGAGGAAATGTACAAGTGTGTGTGTGGGGGGGGGCATACCTCAAGGAAGGAAGTAAATGGATAATATCTAAAACTGAAGTTTCAGAATGAGCATTTTACAAGCACGTTATTTAGAAATATGGAAGTAAATATAGGGGAGGGACAGTTAAAAGTACCTAAAGTGATTACCTCTGGGCAGTCAGATTCTTGTATAAAATTGAAGCAAACACATTGTATGACTTATAAATTAAATTTTTAAAAATATAAAAAATCAAACAATTATGAGGACACTGTAAATGTCATAAATATTGAGAAGGTAAGACTATATATAAACAACAAAACGTACAAAGTAAGGAGAGGATAGGAAGGAGGAAGTGTAAAAACATTGATTTTCTCATTTTTAATTGCGGGTGCTTAAGTGATGTTAATATCTTAACATATGTTAAGCTTGTTTTTAACATTATAGGGTTTATTTATCCAAGTTTAAGCAAATTCTATACTTTCACATCATTTAATTTTGTTTATTCAAGTAAAATTCATTCTGGTAGATTTAATTATAAAGCTATAATATAGATCCATTTATAGAAAATTATTTTTATCAATTTATTCTTATGTGCATGCATGGAAATATATTTAGAATAATGTTGACTTAATGTTAATAATGATTATTTCTGAATGGTGGGATAATAGTATTAATATTCTTTCTTTTTTGTACTTATTGTATATGCTTGAATTATGTTGAGTATATATTGTTTTTAAAAAAATGAGTCATTATTTACATATCAAAAACCATTTATTGTGAAAACATAATCACAAGCCTACCAACTATGTTTTCTACTATGTTTCTATTTAACAAGGATTTCATTTAGAATAATAGCACATGGTCTAATTAAATTATATTAATTTTGAAAGAAAATATCATCCAGTTAAAATATTGCTTGATTTGAGCAAAGACAATAGAGTGCTTTTGAAACAATACTACAGAAATCTGTAATTTCAAGATCACAAAAATTTTTGCATAAATGAAAATTATTTTTAAAACTGAAGGGCATCATTTACAGTATGGTCAGATTCATGGTGATGATAATCAGACAAGTGGGAATACACATCTCTCAACTATAAGATTTCAGGAACCTGAAAACAATTGTGACTTCAAAGATCTGACCAAATAAAACCCTAAGAAAAACCATTTCTGTGCTATTGTGTGAGGTGGCTAACAGAAACCAGGGAAAATGTAAAATACTTAAACAGGAAAACCAAAACCCAATTCTGTTGCTGTCAAGTCCGACTAATAGTGACCCTATCGGACAGAGTAGAACTGCCCCACAGTGTTTCCAGCGAGGGTGGATTCAAACTACCAACCCTTTGGTTTGCAGCCAAGCTGTTAATCACTGCACCAACAGGTAGAAATAGTTATAAATATGGCCTGGCTAGTGACAATAATTACTAAGTGAGAATATGTAAGCTCTTTCTGTGAATGAAAGGGTTAGGAAACTATAGATCAGTAAATATTACCATTAATCCAGTCTTCTCAAAGCCTGATTCCTAATTTAACCCAAAATGATTCCTAAAGTTGGCATTTTCCTCATCCCTACCAGTCTCTTCGACCAAAAAGTTGGGGACTATAGGTTTAAGAAATTTGAACTCGCTGGTCCCAGAACCTCCTGTCAGACAAACCTCATACTGGTAGCTCTGGGACAGGGTCCCTGTGCCGCTGACGTCCACCAAGTGTCCCGGAAAGTGGCCCTCAGGCACGAAGCAGCGACCCGCTGAAGCGGCCCTGTTCCTCCCGCACAGCCGCATCCCGACGAACAGGAGCACGGAGAACAGGAAGAGCGACGAGACTGACGCCAACGCAATGATCAAGTAGACGGTGAGCGAGTCGGCCTGGGCCTCGTCCGCGGCCACCTCCGGGAGCGGTAAGTAGGGCTGCGAGAAGCCGTCCACGAGGAGCACGTGCAGTGTGACGGTGGCCGACATTGGCGGCTCGCCATTGTCCTTGACCAGAACGACGAGTCTGTGCTTGGCAGCGTCGCGCTCGCTCAGCAGCCTGGCGGTGCGCACCTCGCCATTGTGCGCCCACACGCTGAACAGCCCGGGCTCCGTGGCCTTGAGCAGCTGGTAGGACAGCCAGGCGTTCTGGCCTGAGTCGCCGTCCACCGCCACCACCTTGGTCACCAGGTAGCCCGCCTCGGCTGCCCTGGGCACCAATTCGGTGCAGGGCGCAGAGCCGTTCTGCAGCGGGTACAGCACGAAGGGCGAGTTGTCGTTGTCGTCCACGACCACCACGCGCACCAGCGCCTCGCTGCTCAGCGCCGGGGAGCCTGCGTCTGTGGCGCCCACGCGGAACTCGAAGGCTCGCAGGGCCTCGTAATCCAGCGACCTGAGAGCGAACAGGTGCCCGTTGTCCGCGTTGATGGAGACCAAGGAGTCGAGAGGGAGGTGCGGGTCCTGGGGCGGCAGCAGCGAGTAGGTGAGTTGGGCGTTGGTGCCTGAGTCTCTGTCTGTGGCGCTGACGCTGCCTATGTGCAGGGCGGGGCTGTTGTTCTCGCGGACGAACAGGGTGTAGGAGGTTTGGGCGAAGATGGGAGCGTTGTCGTTGACGTCGGAAACCAGCAAGGTTATTTTGTGCTCGGTTTTCAACCTCGGAGTACCCAAGTCTGTGACGGTAATGGTGATGTTATACTCGGCTCTGCTCTCTCTGTCCAGTGACTTCTCTGTTACCAGGGTGTAGAAATTATCTACCGTAGGCTTCAGAAGGAAAGGGAGATGATCCTGGATGGAACACATCATTTTTCCATTGTCCCCGGAATCTGGATCTGAAATTCCGAAAACAGCGACCACAGTCTCAGGGGAGTTTTCTGGGATATCACTGATGAGTAATGACATGGTGAGTTCAGGGGCGTTATCATTCACATCCACCACTTCTATGGCTACGGTGCATTTTCCTGAAAGACCCCCGCCGTCTGAGGCCTCAATTTCCGTAGAGTAAGATTGAATTTCCTCAAAATCCAAGAGTTTTTTTAATCGAATTTCTCCCATGACTGTGTTTATTTCAAATGCCTGAATGACTTGATTTGAAGGTTGAAAAAATGAATAGGAGAGCTCCCCATGGGTTCCAGCATCTAAATCTCTAGCAGAGACGGTGATAACAAGGGAGCCTATCATGCTGTTTTCTGGGACCTTCACCTCGTAGAGCAGCTGAGTAAATTCAGGAGCATTGTCATTGATGTCCAAAACCAGGATGACAACCTGGGATGTCCCAGTCTTGGGTGGTGACCCGCCGTCCAATGCCGTCAGTGTTAACCTGAGCTCAGGCTGCTCCTCACGGTCCAGTGTTTTGTCCAGTACCAGCTCCGGGTATTTCCTGCCATCGCTGTGAGTGCGTGTGAAAAGGTGGAAATGAAAGTTGGTGCTAATCGTATAGTTCTGAACTGTGTTGCTGCCTACGTCCAAATCTTGAGCTATTTTCAAGGGAAACGCCGTCCCTGGATGGCTGTTTTCCAAGATTTTCAGGAGGATTTCACTTTCCAAGAATTCTGGGGCATGGTCATTTATGTCTCCGAGCTGTAGCTCACCTTGAAAAAACTGCACTGGGTTTTTCAGTAACACCTGGAAATGCAGTATACATGGATCCATGTCACCGCACAACTCCTCCCGGTCCAATTTTTCTTTTAGGATCAAATTCCCACTCTTCTGCTGAAGCTGCAGATACTGTTTTTTCCCTTTGGAAAGAATCTGGGCCCCCCGTGCTGCCAGCTCCCCTACGCTCAGCCCCAGATCCTGTGCTAGGTTGGCCACAAATGATCCGCTGTCCCTCTCTTCTAGAACGGAATACTTAATGGTTTCACTGCCCACCTCCCACCACAGTAATAGAATAATAATGGCGATCACTTGCCTTTTCTGCAGTGCTTTGGGGAGCGGCGTATCCATCGTTTCTTTGGGTCCAAAAGATGCAGTATTCAATCACAAAATAATTGTTTCACAGTCAACCCAGCTATCTCGGTTCAATAATCTTGAGTTATTTCTGTTTAACATTGACTGATATGAGGATAGCTGGCTCTCCAAAATCTTCTGTCCCCAGTAATGTAAAATATTTCCTTCCTTCTGTCCGCTGCCAGAAACTGCTCAGGTTTTAATGGAGTCACGGGAGTCTTGCAGAACCAGTTTTTCACTCTCTTAGCCTGCAGCACCACCAAGCGTTCCGCTTTACAACTTCATGTATTTTTCGTTTCAAAGCTGACTGTGATAGCTAAAATGTGTTTCACACTTTTTTTAAGTCAGAGAGTTGTATACGCCCCCTCCCGCCCTTTATGCAATTTTGTTCAGGTGGTTAACAATAATTGTGAGAGCAAAACTCTTCTTTAATAAGGTAAAAGATCAGTGCACAAGACTCTTTCTGCTCAAGACAAAAGTCATTTATTCATTTAGTAAGTATTCATCTGTGCAGGTATCCTTCTAGTTTCTGGGGATAAAACAGTAAATGAAACACAAAAATTCCTGCTCTCATGGAATGTACAGTCTAACACAAAACAACAATTTGTTCTGTTAAAAGAGTGTTATGAATTTTTTTAATCTAGTTTCTACTCTCAAACAAATTTTAATGTATTTGAAACTCCTTGAAAGAAAAAATGAAAACATGATTTTTTGTCAAGCTCTGGATTACATAGCCTTTGGGAGTTGTTTCCTTACATGAATTCATTGTGTGCAATGCCCAGTAAATTTGAGAGGAAAGATTACCAGCTGTTTTATTAGAAATCAGTATAAGGTCAGAATTCAGGCAATGTCTTTTCTACAAACATGAAGAAAGCAATAAAGTAAGGGAACTGAAAAAATATACTTCTTGGAGAAGGTTTCTGACCTGTCTGCATTGAATAAGAGTCTTTCCTGGTTTATGTCCTCTGGACTATGGGAATTGGATTATTTAGAATCACCACTGCTCCAACCAACTAAAGCCATTTGGTTGGAGTGAGAATAGTGGAAGAAGCAGTTCCCCCAAAGAAGAAGACTGCTATTCTAAGGAGAAGAGGGTAGATATATAGGAATACAAAACAGTAAGGGTTCCTTATATTTGTTGAACCAGTAGGTAATCATCTATGAGAATTCACTTATTTGAACAAAATGCAGCCAAATATAGTTTAATTTAGTACAGTTTCATTTTAATTGAGGATAAAAAATAAAATATTAACTCAATTGTCACTTCAGTATAAATTGCCTACCTTTCATGGGAAGTTGGAAAAGGATATTTTTCATAAAATACCACAAATTTAACTGATATAAATAAGGCTAAATATGGGCTAAGATGTGAAAATAACTGAGTTCTATGATTAGTAAAGACAAATAATGCTTATTTATACAGTACTGGAAGGAAAAATCTGACATTACCTAATAACCGCCCACTAAGCAGTGGTTAAAGTGCTCAGTGGCTAATCAAAAGGTTGGCGGTGGGAACCCACCAGCCACTCCATGGGAGAAAGATATGGCAGTTTGCTCCCATAAAGATTATTGCCTTGGAAACCCTATGTGGGTAGTTCTACTCTATCTTATAGGGTCATTATAAGTGGAAATCTGAGTGAGAATAGACTCCATGGCACACACTACCACCACCAACAATAACTTATCTAGGTCTTAGCAAGTATCGTGTAAGAAAGTGGAGGAAGGAGTTTGAAAAATATAATTTGGATTTTAGGAAACAATATATTCAAACTTCCAAATTGTTTGAAAAATACAAGGAGACAAAATATGCTCAGGCATGTTATGTTCTGTAACAGAATTTAGGGTGAGTGGAAGGGTGTTTTCTATCTAGAGGGAAAGCAGACGAGTGATTTAACTAAGCAGTAATAATAATTTCACTGATTGCCAAGGATACTGTATTGTAAATGGAACATTAGCATTTCTTTGTTCCTTGAAAATGTATTATTGTTTTATATTCACTATTGGAATATTAGTAACATTCAACAAATATTTACTAAGCATTTATAACATGCATCAATAACAAGTAAACATAATTGACTTGCGTTTTTGTTTTTTAAATCTATCACTACCTTGCATGAATTCCACAAACTGTGCCATAATTTAATGAGTTGACAGTAAAGAAAATACATATTGACTATTATGGTATACTGAGATACACATAAATATGAATGACTATCTTAGGTGGGAGCCCTGGTGGTGCAGTGGTTAAGAATTCAGCTGCTAACCAAAAGGTCAGCAGTTTGAATCCACCAGCCGCTCCTTGGAAATCCTATGGGACAGGTCTACTCTGTCCTATAGGGTCTCTATGAGTAGGAATCGACTCCACGGCAACAGATTTATCGTACAGCCCTTGTGGTGCAGTGCTTAAAGCACTTGGCTGCTAACTGAAAGGCCAGCAGTTTAAATCCACTATCCGTAAAGATTTACAGCCTTGGAAAGCCGTTGGGGAAGTTCTACTCTGTCCTACAGGGTTGCTATGACTGCATGGCAGTGGATTTTTTATCTTAGGTGCAGCTATCTTTAGTGTTTATCTTTACTGTTTCAAACTGTAGGAGTTATCCCAAAATGAGACTTACATTGGGAGATGGATAACAAACATTCAAATTTTAAAGATCATCTTACATAGTGATAACTATTACCAATAGTTAGAAGGGTAGTCTTACTTAAGGATTTTGGAATATAACTTTTGTAAAATGGATAATTTCAAAACGTTTAAATTACATAAATAAAACTTTTACTTCTTATTCAGATTGTCAAATATAGTTGAGTGAGAGTAATCAAAAAACACTAAAATTATATAGGGAAAATAATGTGTAACCAGTTTGATTTTTTTTTTAAATTTCAACTTAAGAAATAGTAGTAAAATCAGCAAAAAACAGACCGTCAATAACATGCATCAATAACATGTAAACATACGTTATGAGATCTACAAACTTAATACGTAAGGTTTAATAATTCAATACTTAACTGAATTGGAAGCTATTTTGAAAGGTGGAGTTTTCCTCCATTTCCCTCCCAGTTCCCTGGGGAGGGAAGTTGGGGAAAATTGGCTTCAGGAACTTGAACTCGCTGGTACCTGAGCCTCCCGTCAGACAAACCTCATACTGGTAGCTCTGGGACAGGGTCCCGGTACCGCTGATGTCCATCAAGTGGCCCGGAAAGTGGCCTTCAGGAAACGAGTTGCGACCCACCGAAGCGGCCTTGTTCCTCCAGCACAGCTGCACCGCGACGAACAGGAGGACGGAGAACAGGAAGAGCGACGAGACCGACGCCAACGCAATGACCAAGTAGACTGTGAGCGAGTCGGCCTGGGCCTCTTCCGGGTCCACCTCTGGGAGCGGTAGGTAGGGCTGCGAGAAGCCGTCCACAAGGAGCACGTGCAGTGTGACGGTGGCCGACATTGGCGGCTCGCCATTGTCCTTGACCAGAACGACGAGTCTGTGCTTGGCAGCGTCGCGCTCGCTCAGCAGCCTGGCGGTGCGCACCTCGCCATTGTGCGCCCACACGCTGAACAGCCCGGGCTCCGTGGCCTTGAGCAGCTGGTAGGACAGCCAGGCGTTCTGGCCCGAGTCGCCGTCCACCGCCACCACCTTGGTCACCAGGTAGCCCGCCTCGGCTGCCCTGGGCACCAGTTCGGTGCAGGGGGCAGAGCCGTTCTGCAGCGGGTACAGCACGAAGGGCGAGTTGTCGTTGTCGTCCACGACCACCACGCGCACCAGCGCCTCGCTGCTCAGCGCCGGGGAGCCTGCGTCTGTGGCGCCCACGCGGAACTCGAAGGCTCGCAGGGCCTCGTAATCCAGCGACCTGAGAGCGAACAGGTGCCCGTTGTCCGTGTTGATGGAGACCAAGGAGTCGAGAGGGAGGTGCGGGTCCTGGGGCGGCAGCAGCGAGTAGGTGACTTGGGCATTGGTGCCTGAGTCTCTGTCTGTGGCACTGACGCTGCCTATGTGCAGGGCGGGGCTGTTGTTCTCGCGGACGAACAGGGTGTAGGAGGTTTGAGAGAAGGTGGGAGCGTTGTCATTGACGTCAGAAACCAGCAAGGTTATTTTGTGCTCTGTTTTTAGCCTGGGGGTACCCATGTCGGTGACGGTGATGGTGATGTTGTACTTGGCTCTGCCCTCTCTGTCCAGCGGTCCTTCTGTTACCAGGGTATAGACATTCTCTATGGACGGTCTTAGAAGGAAGGGAAGATTGTCATCTATAGAACAGATAACTTGTTGGTTACGTCCAGAATCTGCATCTGAAACACTGAAAACTGCGACTATAATCTCTGGCAAGTTTTCAGGGATGGGGCTGGTGAGTGATGACATGGTCAGTTCAGGGGCATTGTCATTCATGTCCAATACCTGGATGACTACCGAACATTTTCCTGATAGTCCACCGCCATCTGTGGCTTCAACATCCACATGATGAGACTGAAATTCCTCAAAATCCAACGTCCTTCTCAGACGAATTTCTCCTGTGATTGCGTTTATTTCGAAGGGCTGGTTAATGTCATCGACCTGAAATAGGGCATAGGATACCTCCCCAAAGGATCCTGCATCTAAATCTGTCGCTGAGACGGTGACAACCCGTGAGCCTAGGGGGTTGTTCTCGGGGACTTGCACCTCATAGAGCTCCTGAGCAAATACAGGGGCGTTGTCATTGATGTCCAAGACCACAATCTGAATCTCTGCGGTTGCTGACCGGGGAGGAGACCCGCCATCCAACGCCGTGAAGGTTAGCCTGAGTTGGGGCTGCTCCTCCCTATCCAGCGCTTTGTCCAGCACCAGCTCCGGGATCTTTCTGCCGTCACTGCGATTGCGAGTGAGAACATGGAAGTGGGGGTTGGGGCTGATTATGTAGCTCTGAAGGCTGTTGCTGCCAGCGTCTAAATCCTGTGCCATTCTCAAAGGAAATGTCTTTCCTGGTGTGGTAATTTCTGATATTTTCAGGAGCATTTTTCTGGTCGGGAACTCTGGGGCGTGGTCATTTATATCTCTGACCCTCAATTCAGCCTGAAAAAACTGTAAGGGATTTTCCAGTAACACTTGGAAAGGTAGTACACACGGCTCAGTGGATCCACACAGCTCCTCCCGGTCCAGTTTCTCATTTAGCAGCAAATTATGTGTCCGTGGGTCAAGCTGCAAACGCTGTCTGTTCCCTTTGAAAACAACCCGGGCGCCCCGAGCGGCCAGCTCTCCCACCTTGAGTCCTAGGTCCTTTGTCAAGCTGCCCACAAACGTGCCACTTTCTGCCTCCTCCAGCACAGAATACTGCATTGATTCTGAAGCCACCTCCCATAAAAACATCAATATAATAAAACTCTCTACTTGCCTTTTCTTGTGCTGAACTTTTGTCTGAGCCATCTCTATTGTTATGTTAGATTCGAGAGGGAAAAAAACAAAAACAAAAAACCTTTTCAGCTGCCAACTACTACGTCCACCGTCGATCCTCCTGGAACTGAAATGCCCTTGCTGTAGCAACGACTGCCTTCTGAACACTTCTTTAGCTCTCCCTGTAAATGTATTCTGTACTTTTACTTCAGCTTTTTCGGTGTAATGGAGTCCACTGAATCTGTGGAGCTCTTTTAATTCACTCTCTTAGCCTACAGCGCCATCACGCGTTCAAATCTATAACTTCATGAAGTACTCTTCCATTAATACCATTTCTAAAATCTGTGCATTATAAAAACGTCTCAAATTGTAGTGTGTGAACCACATGCATAAAGAATTACCTGGGCGTCTTGGTTAAAAAAAAAAAAGCTAATTCTTGGGAATCCCTCCCGATCTTGGACCAAATTCTCTGGTGGTGCTAATAGGACTCTTTCTCCTTAAGTGGTTCTCATGCACTCTCATGCTGAAGAATCACTCCTTTAATGTAAACTTCTAATAATCAAGTTTGATTCTCTAACAGTGCAATTTATCTCTAATGAGCAGTGTAATTTGTAAGTCCAAGAAGTAAACCACTTAATTGTCCCTACAAACACATCAACAAACCATACAAAACTTGTAAGAAGTTGGTTAACAACACTGGTGGTTTTTGTCTTACCAATGATAAAACAATCATTTCTCTAAGTTGCATGACTTACACAATGATGAGAACAGCATACTTGGTTATGTGGTTACATTTGGACAGTAAAAGGAACAATTAGGCTATTAGGAGGAAAATTCGGGCCAAGAAATAAGTATCTAAGCAAATGAAATTATTTAAAAGAAGAACTAGGAGTAGTCAAGTATTTGTCATAATCATTTTAGGATTCCACTTTAATTTTGTATGAGTAGAATTCGTTGTGATTTTAACGGGCTGGTTAATTTTATAGTATTTTTTTGGTCAAATTCCTCTTCTGTGCTAATCAATTAATCAGGGTCTAAATATATTACCCTGTTGTAGGAGGGTGATGCAATGCAGAAAACATTCACCCTGAAGACACTAGGTTTTATAAATATAGGGCAAATAAGGTAGTGTAAAAAGATGTTTTTAAGGTGAATTACATTTGAGTGGATACCATGGCATTCGATGATGTGACATCATGCCTATGTCCATTCCTATCTCACCAGTTTTTCTCAGATAAATTGGAAAATTTATCTTGAAATATCCTGAGAATGTATAAAATAGTACTGGGTCAGTGTACATAGAAGAACACAAAACACGCCCAACATAATTCAGTTCAGATTGGTTTCATATTTATTGAGAAGTGGAATCAATTGAGTTCAAGCAAAATTCACTTTGGGTAAGAGCCCGTATGACAGAAGATTAAAAAAGAAGATATTTCTCAAAATACTTCAAATGTAGGTAAAATAAAAACCAAAACAAAACCTAACAAACAAAGTCATTGCCATTGAGTCAATTCCGACTCATAGCGATTCTGTACTGGATTCAAACTGCCAACCAAAGCAGCTGGGCTCTTAACAACTGTGCCACCAGGGCTCCAAAATAAGTAAAGCCAAACAAAATCTAAACTCTGAACAGATGAGATCATTTTGCAGTTAAAAACCACCTCTATCTACCCAAAAGAATAAAGAGAAGATCAATGTGACCAGCCTCTAGGGTTCACTTGATAAATACTAATGAAAACAGACTGTTGCTTAAGGATATGCATAGCTTATTTCCCTGACATTAAAAACAAATTAACCCATGAAGCAAAACCCACAATCATAAACATCTTGGATGGATTTAGTTTCCTCTCTGAAACAAGCCTATTTCCAGCACAATCCTAAATGTTTCCTGAGTGAGCATTCTAAGTTGCGTTTCAATCTTAATGGCATCTCTGGAATCTGAAGAGCCCTTTATTCACTCTCTGCCTGCAGCACCACGAGGCATCCTTAAACACAACCTATTGAATTATTTTTCATTTTAAAGCAAATTTTATTAATAACACGTTATATGTCTAATTCAATTTAGATCACTGAAATATCTTTTTAAGAGTGTTTCACTTTTGGTTCCTGAGAATATTGGTAGTTATGATAGAAAGAAGATAATATCAATAGATTATAAAAAAAGATATTAGTTGAGTATATCAAGAAACTGCCTTTTTATATAAAGGAGATTTCATTAGACTGCTTCAGGAGAACTTTTATCGGCTTGATTCCATTTGTTTTGATTTGACTTGCTAGAGTAGAGTTGAATTGACTGCTTTCTTAAGCATGTTCTCACAAGGAATCATCTAAAATTTTTATTGTGGAAAAATTCCAACATATACAAAGTAAATAGAATAGCATAACAAACCTCTATATACTTATCACCCAGCTCCACAACATTCTGTTATTCTTGTTTCATCTGTACCTTTCCATCCATTCTCTGCCTCCCACTCAATGATTATTTTTATATAGTTCTTTTCTTGAGGTAATGCTTACATAAATTGAAATGCACCAATCTTAACTGTACCATTTTAACAAATTGATATGTCTGATAACCCACACCTCTTTCAGGATATAGAACATTTCCATTATTCACTGAAACTTATCTTAATCTTATTTCTCAGCTTAATTTTAGCAATTGGGTGGCAAAATCTTGATTTTCTTTGGACACAACATGGAAAAGGAAACAATGAAAAAAAGCACCATATCCTGATCATGTATGCTAAACTGAAGTGATGAATAGTTTTAAGATTAATTCAGCTGGATGATTACCAATGCTCTGAAATAGTATTTAAACTGGTGAAACATTATAAAGTATGTTAAATTTAATTTTCTTTGTAGCTTATAATAATTACATGGTTAAGCTGAGTTTCATTATTATGCTACAGATGTTTGCTTTCCTCTAATTCCATTATAATTTAAAACAATTCTTGAAGTTTATTAAAAATGAAAGATAAATTCAAAACTAACTTCCAAAGATAAATGGAACCTCTTACAAGTCTTCTTTAATTATATTCAAAGAAAAGCACAATAATTTAGGGAAAAGATAGATTATAAGTAAGCAATCAATTAAAGAAGTCTCTTGATTGATGGAAGATATGCTGCCAACAAGTTTGAAAATAAGATATAAAGGATGTGAGGCTAAACCACATTTGAAATATCAAATGGTTGAGTAAAAAGACTTTTTTGTCAGTCTTGCCAGAGGTTTGTCAACTTTATTGATCTTTTCAAAGAACCAGCTTTTTGTTTCATTGATTCTTCTGTTGCAATAGAAACATGAATTAGATTCTGTTGGTTGGTGACATTGTTGAGCTCTTCTATACCCTTGCTGATTTTATGTTTAGTTGTTCTATCAGATGTTGAGAGAGAGGTGTTGAAGTCTCTAACTATAATTGTGGATTTGTCTATTTTTCCTCTCAGGTCTATCAGTTTTTGCTTCACGTATTTTGCAGTTCTGTTGTTTGGTGCATACACATTTATGATCGCTGTGTCTTCCTGATGGTTTGACCCTTTTTTTCATTATATAGTGTTCCTTTCTTTCTCTGATAATTTTCTTTGCTCTGAAGCGTACTTTACCTGACATTAATGTGGCCACTCCTGCTTTCTTTTGGTTAATGTTTGCATGATATATTTTTCCATTCCTTTTACTTTCAACCTACCTATATCATTATATTTGAAGTGAGTTGCTTGTAGACAGCATACAGTTGGATCAAGCTTTTAAAAAATTTTACTCCATTCTTCCAATCTCTTTCTTTTAATTGGTATATTTAGGCCATTTACATTTAATATAATTATTGAGAGCTTAAGTCTGCCATTTTATTTTTTGTTTTCTGTTCTCTTTGTTTTTTATTTATCTGTTTTTCTTACTGGGTTACTAGAATTTTTTTGGAATTCCATTTTGATGTGTTCATGGTATTTTTGACTATATCATTTTGTATAGTTTTTTAGTGGCTGCTGTAGGTATTATATTCACCAATGTTATCATTTTACCTTAGGTTATACTCACTTATAGATCATTTAGTCCAGATCAGAGCAGAAAGATAACGGGCTTCAGGTAGGAAATATGGGAAACAATTATTGATTGACACTTTCAAAATATTTAAAGATATGATAAAGCCAACTAATAGAGTCTAAAATGGTTAATCTATCTGATCTTGATTCTAAGAATATTCTACTTTGACACAGGAAGCACAATATTGGATTCAAAGAGCAGGAAACACAGTGCTTAATCACTAAGTAATAACTCTCTGCAATGAACAATATTTTGAGAAACAGAAAAGCAGCCTCTGACAACCAGGAACTGGCCTGGCGCTCACAGCTAGCCATGGTCTTCTCCTGTTGAACATAAAAGTTTTCACAGAAAACTAATATGAGAAAAGACCATTGTGACCCTGATGTAGCAAGACCAAAATAATATTACTTCATAATCAAGTTTGAGCAGAGATAAAAACAAGAACATTGTCCAAACCACAAAAATGACCAAAGAGCCCCTTTCCTGGCTTATATGAGTGAATTTTACTTCTTTACCAATTACAGTTTCAACTCACTTTGTTTTCTTAATTATGATCATAGAATTACCCCCTCCTCCTGAATGCATCCAATCCAGAAATACATACCCACGTTTGCCAAAAGACATATACAAGAAAGAGCCCAGCAGCACTGTTCGTAATAGCCAACCCTACACCAACCCAAATATCCATCTACAGTACAATGGGTAATAAATTGTGGCATATTCACACACTGGAATTCTGTATAGCAATGAGAATGAAAGCACTAAAAATAAAAGTAGTATCATGGATAAATTTCACAAACATAATGTGTAAAAGAAGCTAGAAACAAAGCAGTTCATGCTCTACTATTCCATTTATATAAATTCAAAACAGGCGTAACTAACCCATGATATTGGAAGTGAGGATATCTGTTATCCTTGGGTTCATAGTGATTGTAAGGGATAATTTGTGTGGAATCTGGTGTGCTGGTAACCTTTTCTCTTTTTGTCAAGCTGCTAG